GTGGGTCTATGCCAGGGCTAGACCTGATCCCAGCTCTTCCTGGGCTTGCTGGGCTTTTTTTTCCTCTTTCACTGCTGCGGCGTTTCCCCCCGTCATGGTTTCACTGCTGTCAGACTTCCGGGTCTCGGTAGCATCCTGCCAGCTCAGGAGTTTTCCTTTCCAAAGTAAGTTTTATCTCAAGGCATTGCCCCTACCACACACACTCACATGCAGTAGAATTAGTCTACTGTGCATTTAGCATCTCGTGTAGACATGCCCCTTATGTGTTTAAGTTTAACCTGTGGTTTATTGCTTGGATGGATCAGGTCCATGGTGCTGAAGACCTATCAGGTCTGAACTTTAAGTTCCTTAACCACAAATAAATATGTTTTTTAATGATATTTATAAACTCTGTGTTTGAAATATCTCAGAGAAGCATAGAAAGCAACAAGAAGTTCCCAGTGATCTCAACAACAAAATACTCACTGATGTCAAATCAAGCAAATACTTCATTCCACGTGTTACATGCACACCTCTATAGATACACTTCTATTGATGACTGATGTTTTATTATGCCTAAAAGATCTTCACTGATTTCCAAAATATAATATTTTGCCTGAAAGTTGAATGTGAAAATATTTGTTTTGTTTTATTTCACAGAACTACTGTCTCTGTCTGAATGATAATTTGCCTTAGATAATCTTAGTAGAATAAATTGGTTTACTTACTTTCATTTTTGTCAATATTAATATTTACCAAGTTTTCCTGGCTCTAATTTAAAGGATGTTAATAATAGACGGACTAAATCCTTTATTATTATTATTCAGGGAAGAGATAATTTAAAGCAGACTGGGGATACTGATACTAGTAATAAGAGCAATATTGCCATTCTTGAACATTCTGTCTATATTATTCACCTCATTCTCAGTTTTCTGCCTTTTAAAAACTCTTTCCATTTCTTTCATATAGTGTATTAAGTTTTTAAACACCAAAAATAAGGCATTAGGTGCCTAATTTTAGGCACATTATTTGGAAAATATTGGCTTCTGAGATTTGGTGTGTAAAATTAAGTGAACATAAATTAATAGTGGATCACATTTTTGCAAGACTCGAACCACCATCTCTCTGACTAACCACACTAAGCCTTACTAATTATTAAATAGAAAAGGAAAATAAATATATTGCATATTTTTCTTATAAAGTGAGGCTCAATTGACAACACAACAGATAAATGAGTTTTCATGAACCACAATTTAAATATCACTGGATTTCCACTGGTTGCAGTTATGATTGGAAACACATTCCTTTAAAAACAAATGAACAAAAAACCCCAGAAAACCCATTGGCATCTGTATTCCAGCATCAATCAGTATATGAGGGTTGTGGTGAGGAGACTAAATTTGCCATGTGATGCATTTTTTAACGTTGTGTCTTTTTTTTTCATTCCACCCTAATTACTAGCACGAGCAATTATTTTGTGTGTGAGCATATGCACCAGCTTCTAAGTTGCTAAATGTCATAATTCAACTGTTTGACAGAAGAATCCTCCCTGACAAACTAACTGAAATGATAGCCAAAAATAACATTACATAAGCTGGCAGGGAGTGGGTAGGGTTGGGTGGGAGGACCAGGGGATTCAGGATACTAATTTGAATTTTTGTTTGATAGAGAACATTTGCTCAATGCTTCTATTGCAAGAAAATTATATTGAGTCAATTTAAAAATTGTATCAAGCAAAGTACAAAGGCCAGCCATTGCTGCTGTGATGCTATTTTGATGAACATCCAAGTACAATATAACCTCATAAATCCGGATATCAAAAATCCAGAATTATTGAAATCTGGCACTTTTTAAAACTACACTCCACTGGGGACTTGTGGTAGCCAGTCCCGGAGCAGTGGAAGGGGAAGCTTGCATGTGGCGGTTGCCGCCGCCATCCACCACCCCACACTGCCGCTTTGTGTGCGGCCGCTGCTCCAGAAACAGCCACCACTACCCTACCCCTCCCACCACTCTGGGATCGGCTGCTGCTCTGGTTTAAAAAATCCAGAATTTTCACATTTTGACCAGTGCTCAGCGCCGAGCATGCCTGATTCTTGAGGTTATTCTGTAGCATCAAAGAATAATAATAATAATAATAATAATAATAAAGTAAATACAGCTTTGTCTCTTCATAGTTATTTACTCTATTACAAAAAAAAGCAACAGGTAAGAAGTACAGTTTTCTCCAACAAGATAGACAACAGTAAAAGCAGGCTGAACTACAATATTGACAGTGACTTCTAGAAAGCTGTATTTTAAACTGCCACAAGGTAAGACCCAAACAAAGAACAACAGGGAAGGAAATGTGTGTGCTAACTGAGGCCCTACTCCTCTGATATCAGTCCTAAGCCTAGATAAGCCTTTTTCTTTGAAAAGTAAGTCTTCCTTTCTAAGGAAGACAATAGAAACAAGTGATAAAATGCAGCAAGAGAAGGGAGACCCCCCTTAATTTGTGAAGTTAATTATCTTTTAGGGACTTGAGCAGGTTTGAGTTACACTTAGGCACCTAATGGGTGAAACTGGTTCTGAATATTCACATTCTTCTTCAGATGACAGTATCTGATGAAGTGAGCTCAGGCTCATGAAAGTTTATGCTATATATTTCTGGTTTAATTAGTCTGTAAGGTGCAAATCTACCCTAGCTTCTGCCAATCCATCTTGGCCAGGGACAAATCTTCAGCAAGATTTGAGTACAAAGGTGACTTAAAGCAGTCTTTCTACTTCCCCATACTGGATAGAATGGGTTGAGCCAGTACCACCACTGTGAATGGCCCAAGAGACGATGCATCCTTTGCAGAAGCCTTGTCAATGTTTCTTTCCCCAGGCCAACCCCCCAACTTGAGAAGCCAGTGGGAAGAACAGCACAGAAATCTTTATGCTGGCTCTCTGTCACCAATGTTTCCTCTGATTCTGGTACGACCTTCACTTGATCAACAGAGAGGCTTTGTTCCAACAGTGTGATGCCGGGTGGACATAAAACAAAGGAGAATTTGGCCCTAAAAACTATAGTTTCATAGTAGGTAGGGTAGGAAGGGACCTGAGCAGATCATCAAGTCTGTCCCCCTGCCCTGGGCAGGAAAGAATGCTGGGGTCATATGACCCCAGCTAAGTGATTGTCTAGCTTCTTTTTGAAGACTCCCAGGGTAGGAGTGAGCATCACTTCCCTTGGGAGTTGGTTCCAGATCCAAATGACTGTGAAGAAGTGCCTCCTGATGTCTAGCCTGAATCTACTCTCAGTCAGCTTATGGCTGTTGTTCCTCGTTACTCCTGGTAGTGGTCGGGGGAACAGGAACTCCCCCATAGGCTGCTGGTCCCCCTTGGTCTGTTTGTAGATGGCCACCAGATCCCCTCTCAGCCTTCTCTTGTGGAGGCTTAACAGGTTCAGTTCCCATAGCCTCCACTCATAGGGCCTGCCTTGCTGCCCCCTGATCATGCAAGTGGCCCTCCTCTGGACCCTCTCGATGCTGTCAACATCCCTCCTGAACTGCGGCATCCAGAACCGGATGCAGTACTCCAACTGCGGCCTGAACAGTGTTGTACAGAGGGGGAGGATCACCTCCTTGGACCAGCTCGTGATGCATCTGTGGATGCATGACAAGGTGCGGTTAGCCTTCCTGACCGCGTCCCCACATTGGCAGCCCATGTTCATTTTGGAATCAATAATAACTCCAAGATCCTTTTCTGCCTCTCTGCTGATAAGAAGGGAGTTCCCCACCCTGTAGGTATGCTGCTGGTTCTTCCTCCCCAGGTGCAGTACCTTGCACTTGTTAATACTGAATCCCATCCTGTTCTCATCTGCCCACCCCTGTAAGCTGTCTAGATCTAGTTGCAGCCTGTCCCTCTCCTCCAACATACACACTTCTCCCCACATCTTAGTGTCATCCGTGAATTTAAACAAGGTGCTTTTCACCCCTTCATCCTAGTCACTGATGAAGATGTTGAACAGTGCAGGCTCGAGGACCGAGCCCTGGGGGACTCCACTGCCCACATCCCTCTAGGTCGAAAAAGATCCATCCACCACCACTCTCTGGGTGTGGCCCTCCAGCCAATTTGCGACCCATCTGACTTTGTAGGCATCGACAGTCACCTAATTTCTTAATGAGAAGGGGGTAAGAGACAGTGTCAAAGGCCTTCCTAAAGTCCAGGAAGACTACATCCAGTGCAACACCTGCATCCAAGGATTGTGTGACCTGGTTGTAGGAGGCCACCAGGTTGGTCTGACAGAACTTGCCTCGAATGAACCCATGTTGGTTGCCCCTAAGCATGTTCTCCCCTGCTGGCTCCTTGCAGATGTGCTTCTGGGTAATTTTCTCAAAGAGCTTCCCCAGGACTGAGGTAAGACTAATGGGCCTGTAGTTTCCTGGGTCCTCCTTCCTCCCTTTCTTGAAAATGGGGACCACATTGGCCCTTTTCCTGTCCTCTGGCACCTTGCCAGAGCACCACGAGCGCTCATAAAGCCATGCCAGGGGTCCCGCAATGACCTCTGCTATGTTATTTCACAAACTAACATAACTCACCCTAAGCTAATCTTTCATAATTTCTGAGCACAGTGGTTTATTTCAGACTGCACTCAGTTTGACACAGTAGTTGGAAGGCAGCTACTTGTTATGTACTGTTTAGTTTTAGCTAGGAAATTGTAACTAGCAGGCTACTTAGTGTTGCCTTCCTGAGTTAGTGCAGCTGGACTGCCTAATTTACCAGGCACCTATAAAAGAATAGCTTATAAAGTGTTTAATTCCCAATTCAAAATGAACTTTATCGGTAACAATTATTTTGTGGAAAATTCCCCATTGATCTGGTATTGGCAAGCGGAAACTTTACTCTGCAAGAGTTCACTATGTTTTGCATTCTTGGTTAAACTCTGTAATTTTTTTTCAAAATTCTTTCTAGTTGCTCTTAGTCAATAACCTATTAGTGGAGAACAAGAGGGAGAAAAGTAGTATTCCTCTAAATGGAAAATGCTCATGATCTCTGCTTACCAGTACAGTCACCACACGCAGAACCACCCCACGCATGTTATTCTCCAACTTTCTGTCTGTTAGTGACCCATTCAGACCTGTGACAGGATTCCAGCAGCCAAGCTGAAAAATAAAATAGAATTTGTCACCTCATTGCCCATAAAATTTTGCCAGTCATTCTTCTTATGGAGCTTGAAATGGGGGCATGCCACACAAACAGAGCACCTTCTGGAATCAATGGGATGGAAAGTTAGAGGGGTTTGTGCACAGATTCCTTTTTGAATTGCAAATGAAGCAATTAGAGATATCAGCTTGTGCTTTTAAATACCAATGCACAATGTATGACAGAATCCTGGGTTGTGGGGAATATTCATTGCTTTATAAGAGTTCAGCCAGGACTTTTGAATTAACGACAAGCATTTAAGATGTGAGGTGGCTATTACAATACCTATATGTCACTTCCAGTGATACACTAATTGGGAAAATAATGGCTAACATAATTCCAGCATGGTGTCTATTGCAGCACAGCTCCCTTATTCAAATTTGATGAACATTATGTTTAATTATACCTTATACTTTTTGATGAGAAAGAAATGTAGACATTTTAAGTTAGGTTAAAAGTCCCATTTAGAAATGATTGGTGGGGGGAGAAATCAACAGATGGGCAAAACTATAGTGTCTGGAGGATTTTTAATGAGTGGTGCAGGGAAAAAAAAAACTATATTTACCTAGTTGCAGAATATTTACCTATATTTATTAGGCTGTTATGGATAGAGGCTTTTCCTAGGGTCTTGCAAAGATTAACTGCTTTTTAAATCTTACTTCACAAAAGGTATTCATCTATAATTTATTTGTCAGAAAGCATCATTGGCTTTCACTCCTAGATAATGGCAGGTGCATTTCTCATGAACAAAGTATCTGTGCCTCATCCCCTTTTAGAAAAATAAGTATGCTCATTTGTTAGCATTCCTGTAAGATTTTTTGGAGTGCTGCTTTCTTTTGAAGTATTATGTACGAAGATTACCAAAATCCAATCCACATCCCTGTGGACATGCTCTAAATGCCTTCAGGGGACTTTGAATAAGAGCCTAAATACACTGAAGAATCTCCTAGGAGCCATTTCAATGTACTAGAACTGAGGTAGTGCTAAAAATCACTGGCTTAACCTGGTCATCAGTAGTTTACTCTAGAGGGTGTTTAATGAGACTTCCCCTCAGAGAAGCCAATCCATAGTCTACTTGGGACAACACTATAAAGTCTGCAAATGTGACATTGTAAATTAAAAAATGAAGCTCTAGAATGGCAAAGCACTAGAACAAGCTTCAATGCCCACGCAGTTTCAAAGAGTGCACCCGTTGACTGTCAGCAAAGAAATTAATAGGCCAGAAATTGTTCTTTGTATAACAAACCCTTATGGGAAAGTTCAATAGAATTGACTTTTCCATGATCCTATAAAATTCTACAGTATGGTAGAATTTCTATAGAAATGTTAAGGTAACTCATAGAGTTACAACGTTATTATAGATATGCACACTCTTATATTTTTATATACATACACACACAGACCATGATATACAAGTTATTAAGTGAAATGGTAGAATTTAAAATATCATGCTTAGTCATACAGGCTTTGGGGAAAAGCTTTTATGCACGTCTAAGTATTTTCTTTTAAGCAAATTGTCTAGACATTTTCTTAAAGACTGGTGCCTTTAAGGATCAAAATCCTTTGTTGGTTGGAAGACAGCTTAGTCTTATTCTATTGTTTGAGAAGAAATCTAGTTAGTATCTTTGGAGTAATGTCTTTTTATACTCTTATGGACAAAGGATGGAATTTTAAAAAATGCTTAGCACTAACCCAACTCTGCTGCTACTGAAGCTATGAGAATATTATAATTGATTACAGTAAGAGCCTAGCTGAGGCAATGCTGAGGAGGTTTAACATGCCACCCTAAATATACATATTATTCAAATGGAGAAAACTTTAAATTCAGAAGCAACATTGACCTCTTAACAGTTGTGGCTTTTGGAGGGAGAAGTGAAGAAAGATCCCCTTGCAAACACAAAGTGAATAACCCAATGTGTATCTTGTTAGGAAATCAGGAATTCCTTGTTTTGCCAGTAGTTGAGTAAACCAACAAAACAAACATACAAAAAGCTGTATAATACAGTTAGAGATGGAACAAAATCAAGGGTTAGCTCTGGCCTATCGAGTCACTTCACCCAACTCAAAGGGCTCCCTGAAGGGCCTGTAATATGGGGGCAGGGCAAGTGGGTCAGGGCCTGCTCCTGAATTCCTGGGAATGAAGCCCCAGTAGGCACACATGGTGGTAGTGGGGTGCAAGTGAAGACTGTGTTAATCCCTGCACCGCTACTCACCCTAACCTTGTCACCGAGTCTGGATGTGTGCTAGAAAGCTCTTTGTAGTCCAGATCTAGCTCACAAGGAGACCTGCAGTCCAGATACAGCTCAGGAGTACAGGTGAGTTGCTCCTGCTCTCTCTCAAAGCTTAGTTGTTTATATGGTTACTTATATTAATATACCTTGAGTATTCTGTTGCATCTTGTGTATTTACTGTTTTTCAGTATCACTACTGTGGTGCTAAGGTTTGTCCAACAATCAGACTGAATTCGAAACACATACTTGCTAAATCATGTTATTACTGACAGCACAATTAATGGGTTTAATTAAAAATATTTATACAGATGTACACATTGTGTTGTAAGATAAATTACTGTCACCTTTTGAACAAGTAAAGCAAAGTACTTGATAAAGCCTACATTTTTACATTTAAAATGATGGGAAATTGTGCTAAGTGCTAGGCTCAGCTGTAAAAGCACATTAAATTCATTTAGCGATATGTCATTCTTAATTACATAAAGAAACTAATTAGAACTTAGATCCAATTAGCATATCCAAATGTATTGAAAGTCTAATTACTATAGTTATTGTACTGTTCTTGCCAAATGTGAGATTGCATGAAGTTTGTGTAGAGTATTTGTTCCCTTTTGAGGTCAGCAAAAGTCCATTTTTAATTATGTTCATTAATGTGTACATTTTTATATAATTATCTTTTCAGCCCAATCCTTTCTAGGATTTATTAAAGAAGACCACAGAATTAAGTATGGCACGTTTATTGTAGGTCTAATATTCCTATTACAAAGGTATATTTTGTTTTCAATTATGATAATTTAATTTTCAATTCAATTAGTCCTTTCATACAGCATAGCCATGCTCAAGATAAATGCGCAGTCCATTGCCAATAAATGTAACTGATTTCAGGTATGGAGTTGTTTACTCAAACAGCATGAAAATTAATCAACTTATATTGACAACAATTTGAATGTGTCATTGTAGCAAGATGCAACAAACCCACTTCTGAAACAGTAAAGTATAATACCAACTTCTGTCCATGCTGCTGAGATTTCCCTTCAGCAGTGCTTCTGGCACCACCAATTTAACAGAACATCTATTACTGGTGTGTTTGCTTTTTTCAGTCCTGTTCACATCTTATTTGATAGTTGAAATGATAGCATAATTTAATGCTTTATTAAGTAATAAAGTAATATTATGTTAATTTGGTGTCGATTTATATAATAACAGCAGATTCCAATATATGGGTGATACAGTGAACAGTGTATTCTTCTTTTGCATCTGCAGAAGAATTTATGAGGTTTCTTTAATTTTTCTTTACAATAGTCACTCTGGTACACAGAGAGAATGATGAAGGTTTTTAAACTTGTCAATATCCCACTTCCTTTGATACCTGATTTACAGTTTCTTTTCAAATCAAGAGCCTTGTAACATAGCACCTTCTCTTCTCTACTCTGGTTATTAAAACTGGCTTATTTATTTTATTTTGCTGACTGCAATGATAATTACTCTTCCTCTCAGAGACTATTTGGTCATCAGCCATGGTTCTTGCCTCCAAGTTTTTCACTGTGAAAGGTTTGTGATTGTGAATCTTTTTAGATAAGTTACAATTTTAGGATACTGATCAATATGGAACTTGGAACACTATTAAATGTTAAATAGTCTCACAAAAGAGCCTCAAAGTCCTGCAACTTTTGTTTCCCATTCCCATAAAGACATGTATAAAAAGGTGGGGGCCAGGGGAGGGGGTGTTCAGTCAAGAGTTGTAAGAAAGGCCCCTGTAACAGGTCCAAAACCCCAGGGGTGGCTGTGACACCCCGATGGCCTTATAGAACCTGCTGAGCTCTGGTCTGGTTCTTGGATCCCTCCCCCTTTTTCTCACCTCCCATGCCTTGATGTACATGGTTAATTCTAGAATGGGAGGCTTCTTCAGAGCCTGAGTGAGGATTGGTCTGTCTTCTTGTCAATGGATTTCACCAACCTGGATGAGGGGGTGAAAAGCCCATTGGCCAAGTTCGTGGATGACACCAAGATATGGGGTTGTGCAGACACATCTGCAGATACAAGCAGACCTAGACAGGCTGGCATGTTGGGCAGAATGGAACCAGATGAGGTTCAACATAGAGAAATGCAAAGTGCTGTATCTGGAAAGGAAGAACCCCCAGCACACCTACAGGCTGAGAATCACTAACCTGACCAGTGCTACAAATGAAAGGTATTTGGGGGTAACAATAGACCCCAGCATAAACATAAGCCGGCAATGCGATGCAGTAGCTGCTAGGGCCAATAAAACTCTGGCATGTGTCAATTGATGCATCTCCAGTAAATCCAAAGAAGTGATTCTCCCACTTTACTCAACATTAGTGTGGCCACAGCTGGAGTGTTGCATCCAGTTCTAGGTGCCGCACTTCAACAAGGATGTACTAAAGCTTGAGAGGGTCCAGAGAAGGGCCACCCACATGATCAGGGACTTGCATGGCAAACCATATGAGGAGAGGCTGAAGGATCTCGGACACTTCAGCCTGAATAAAAGAAAGCTGACAGGGGACCTGATTGCGGTTTACCGCTATATCAGAGGCATACATCAGAGGCTCAGTGACCAACTGTTCACCAGGGTGCCCTGAGGGAAAACTAGAAACTGCTGGAAGATAGTTTCAGGCTGAATATTAGGAAAAACATCTTTACAACCAGGGTGTCCAAACTATGGAACAAGCTCTTCCCAGAGGTGGTGCAATCATCTACCCTAGAGGTCT